TGTATGCTGAGCTGTCAAGTTAAAAACGGAAGAAATCATTGCAGCATATCGTGCATGCTTGTTTTCATATTGACGCACTCTAATGTGTTTTTATTTTACGACACAAAAACTCAATATAAATTATTCTGTTGTTTGTTCTTTGTTCTAGCGATTCAGAAGAAAAGGCTTCACAGAGATTTTTTATGTGGATTAGCACTGTATGTATTTTAGAGCACACTTTAAAAGACTCTATGTTTAAGGAAAGCACTTGAAGAAATATTGGATCATACATAAATATCTATTGCAAATGCGAACTGAAAACGGACAGAAAAACGAGCCTGTAAACTATTTTGTAAGATTTGTACTTTGATTGGCCTCTGAATAAATAAAATTGGCATCTCTTGTTTTTGTTGTTGTTTCTTTTTTTTCGTGAAATGAAGTGATCGAATAGTCATAAAAATTTATCTCTACTCATGCAGAGAACAGATTTCTTTATTGTCTCTGTGAATCGGCAATATGTTTGCATAATAAATTGCACCATATATTGAACTCTACACTGTTGAGCATATAGAGAAGGCCAGAGATTGAGAGAGTAAGAAAGAGATATTAAAGAAGGAAGAAAGAAAGGGAGATGAGAGGTAGACTGCAGAAATGAAGTGCATGCGATGAGTTTTGTGTGAAATAGTGGCAATTCAATATCCATGTATCTATTTGAAATTCTCAATGTCTTGCACTTTTCTTATTTTGTTTGAAAGATGAAGAAACAAAAAAACTCATGACTCACTTCCGAAAATCACAATTTCTTATGTCTTAAGGGCTGATGTCTTAAAAAAAAGTGAGAAATAACTGCCAAGAAAATAATATAGTTTAGCATCGAATGATATCGTCCATTATTCTATTCATTTTATCTGCTTGTTTCGCTTGATGATGCACACACAGAAAAGAAACTTTAGTGAAAACTAAGGCGAATGCAAGATGAAGAAATGAAAGAGCCAAAGAGAAGAAAAAAAATTTATGGTAGAAATAGATAAATATTGAAATTGCCATGGCTATTTTAGCGTAACTCCATCACGTCGCACATTTCTCGTATTCAGCCAAGATGGGCACTATTTATGCTGGAAAATATTTAGTTATATATTTTCATTTGCCACAACATGAGCAATGGCACCGATAGAATAGCATCAGCAGCAGCAGCCGTATCAACGGCTGCAACAACGGCAGCATAGCAACAAGAATTGAACGACGGGGTAACAGCAGATAAAGAAAATGGAAACAATACATCATGGGGCATTTGAACATGACATTTTCGTTTTTGGCGAACGCCATACCAATGAATTGTGTATGTAGCAACACATTGAACAACCATTTATTACTTTCGTTTAATACATGGAAAATCGTGCTTATATATTGCTTTATAAAACACCACACCAGAATGGAAAAAAAGTTTTTTTTTTCATTTTTTCTCTCTCATTTGGATTCGAATGCGAACGGTATTTTGCTATTTCAGTCAAATGTGTCAAGTCACCGTATGGTTGGTTAGTTCTCTCCCTCTCTAACTGCCGTTTGTCTCTCATTCCCTCCTGATGCGTGCCAAATTTGCTTCCGAAGATATAGAAAATATATATATATTTCATGACCCAAACAACATTCATACTTCAAAATGTATATGCGCGAAATTGAGAAAGAATGTGGCACTCTCTGCTTCCAATGATCCAACATAAATTTATATATGAATCAAAAGTCCATATTAAAAACTGCGTATCTTTTATTTAATTTTGTTCGATGCAAAATTATGCAATGCATACGATGGCGGTCACCGCACATGTGTGTCTGTCGAACAATGAAGTATATCTATTATAGTCATTATTATTTTTTTTTTTTTTTCAAATTCATCCCGGCCAATGTAACAAATTGAGCTACTATCTCGGTTTTAGGAATTTTCTACACGCCGAAATTATATGTTTATAATCAATTTAGTGAGCGAACACTGTATTCGATCGTTGGAATTAGAAGTGAATTTTTTATTAGATTGCGCGATTTTCATTTGGCGTTTACGTTCTCGCGAGTTTTTGTTTAAATTTAGCCGATTCAATGCTATTTTCGTGTAGTAATAGCAACAACATCAGCAGCACCAGCAGCAGTAATTAATTTAGTGCAAAAGAAAGCAGTTGAAGCGAACATACGGACAAATTAACTGCTGTTGCTATATATGCTTTAAAAACACACACAGGAATGGCTTGTGGAATGTGTACATTGTACGTAAAACCGGGGTATTCGCTCACGTTAAATGCACAATACCATAATGCGTATTTAAATAGGTAGCCAAGTTTATAAAACCCATAAATTTTCATGTGGCTGCATAAAATATGTGAATGTTTGCAGGGTCGCGCGGTACAAATGTATTTTATTTATCAATGTGCACGAAAATAACACATTCTCAATACTAAATCATAGACACAACCGTTTAATCTTTTTGTTTCTCTATTTTTGCACATCCAACAGCAGCAACAACAACACCAACAATAACAACAAATGGCACTACACCCGTTCGATGGCAAAAACCTATCCCCCCTCCTCGTCCGACCAACACCATTTTAACAATTATTATTTTGCTAATTTTTCATCAATTTTCCTTGCTTATAAATTATTATTTTTAGTCAGTTTTCCATGTGCTGCTCGTCGTTGCCATCGCTGCCTGCCATATATATTCACGACGTACTATATGTTTGCTTTGCTTCTTTCTTGACTCTTTTCAGGCAACATCATTCGATATATGTATAAATATTTTCCTTGTGCTGGAGCTGCTGTTGCTGGTGGTAGTGGTAGTGGTGCTGTTTTTTGTAAAATGTTCGTTGTTCCGTTGCTGAGTACAACGCAAACTAGAAGATGTACGATGCAGGAAATCGGAAATAGTAAACTATTTGCTAACAAGAGCTGCACGTATCCAGTGACTCTACGAGGAAGGAAAGATATTATGAACTGTACTCCAATAATCGGATACAATTAATGATCATTATGCAGTAAATTGTACACACTCACACACATTCACTCCAATGAATGAAAGTACCTTACCAAACACACAGCCAGTTCAACAGCATTTTCGGCCAATTTGTCGGTGGACACAAAAATCCTTGTTTATGAGCGCACCGTCCACTTTTTTCAGCACCCAACCGAAAATATAGATCAACCGCACACTATATCAAATCAAATTTCAACAAGACACAGCCCACAAGTAATGAACATGTTATACTAGCTGAAATAACTGTTAAACAAAACACTTCTTTCAGATATAATTTATTTCATTTTGCCATATAATAATGATGCGACATAGGCGATGACAAACAAAAACGGCTTAAATTTCAAATTAGTCGAGCTGCGAATTAAAAACATACTCTATGAGCAGAGAAAATAAAAAGAATTTGAAACGACAAGAGATTGCACGAAGCACAAAGTTAATTATTTACATTTTGTGATGTGAATTATTGTCTTGTCGACTCGGCTTGTATCATACACCAGTGACAGTTGTTGTATAGCGCTTCACATGCACATAAATATTCAACGTTACACAATAATATTTATGATCTTTAATATACATTCTACCATCTACCACTATACCTTACAAGTACAACTGTATGAAAGTACTATTTTCCATCCACTCGAAAAAAGGTTTATGCAGTTTTTGAATTTCAAATGCCGTTATACAGAATATTCGAGCAAAGGGGTGAATCGAATCGACAAAGTTCAACGTTTCGCATTGTTGTTTTAACGCTTTTTTGTATTATTTTATTTTTTCATTTTGGATTTTAGCGTGAATTTTATTTTTCAAATGAACATTTTTCTCTTAAAGCATTTCCGATGATTTAAATGCGAAAGGCGTTATTCTTTTAAGATGAATGCTGTGTTGAAATTCAAAATGAGTTTTCTCATTTTCATTAAGTGGCTCTCATGAAAACTCATCGATCAAACGTGAGAGTTAATTATACTACAATGCATTCCACACTTTGGAAGTGACCCTCACAATATTGATGTTATGAGAAATACTTAAGCTTCTTGAACTTTAATACATACTTTTCACATCGTTTACATGGAGCACTGGTTAACGCCTGTTTTTATGCCAACAATGCAATGAAATTTAGCCCGAAGTTATGCAATTCCATGTAGTTCAGAGCAACATTCTATATGCATTTAAATATAAGTACCCTTGTTGAAAAGTATATTTTTGTGTTAAAGTCATATATATCGATAATATTTCGATGAGAAGTGTATTCGTGAATGGCGTAAAATAAAGAGACACATTTTGATTGATTTCCAAATGAAAATGTAAATATTTTTTCGGTAAAGATAAAATAAAAATGCAATCTTTATCAAGTTTTTTTTAATTCACTTATTTTCGCTGCTTTCATTTTAAATGTTAACTATGTTATCATGGCTACAAGGGAAAATGTGTAATGAAACACAATTTCGTTTTACAATTCGTTCGTCCACTTATGACTAATTTTTAATAAACACGCAAAAAAATGATAAGCCAAAACGGCACTATCGATATGAGGCACACATAAAACAAGTGAACAACAAAGCTCAAACCCAATTATTTACGAGTTATCACTAGTCATAGAGACGCCAAAAAATCAATTCTGTCGAAAGTTTTAGTTCGTTCACAATTTAACTTGATCAGAAGAAATTGAGAAATTTTTCATTGAAATTCTCGGAATGAATCAATCATGACAAGTTATCGAAAAATAATTAAATAAATAGAAAATTTGTGAATTTTTTGGCAGATAAGCAAGAGCAAAAAACATCAGGCATTTGCAATTTTTGTTGTGAAATCGTTTGTTTTTTTTCTTTTTGTGCATATTTTTTGAATAGTACAATACCAAAATATTCAATTAAAAATTTCCAGATGTTTAATTGTTTTAAATACTTTTATATAGTACCATTCTGCCAAATTAAACCCAGTTATATTGAAATCAATGGTCAATACTTAATTTTATATTTTGAAATATGTTAAAAATGAAATGAGGTTAAGAGAAAAATCAATCAGATAATATTGTATTTATTTGAAAATTAAACAAAAACATTTTATATCGATTACTAAGTGTTTACTATGCATATTTTATTTGAGTATAAAATGATCCATCAAAATGACCAGTATCGAGTCCTACTTTGAGGAGTAGGTTTTTGAGCTGTCGGCATTAGTATTAAGCGAATTTGATCGGGTGACGGTATTTTTCTTGAGAATTTCGTAGGTCCTTGTATTGTTGTTGATCGTGCTGTTGTTGAGGTTGTTGTTCATTGGGGTATTGTTGTTGATCTGCACGCCGCGGAGAATTTCGTGGATCGTTGTATTGTTGTTGAAGTTGTTGTTCATCGGGGTATTGTTGTTGATCGGTGTGTTGTTGTTGATCTGCACGCCGCGGAGAATTTCGTGGATCATTGTATTGTTGTCGTTCGCGTAGTTGTTGAGGTTGTTGTCGATCGTGTTGTTGTTGAAGTTGTTGTTGATCGGGGTATTGTTGTGGATCGTGTAGTCGTTGAGGTTGTTGTTCATCGGGGTATTGTTTTTGAGCGGTCGACATTAGTATTAAGCGAATTTGATCAGGTGATGGTATTTGATTTGATGGTCGTAGGTAATATTGTTGATCGAGTATTCGATAGAGGTATTTTTCTTGATCATGTGTCTGCGGAGAACTTCGTGGATCGTAGTATTGTTGTCGATCGTGTTGTTGTTGAGGTTGTTGTTCATCGGTGTGTTGTTGTTGATCTGTACGCCGCGGAGAATTTCGTGGATCGTTGTATTGTTTTCGATCGTGTTGTTGTTGATCTGCACGCCGCAGAGAATTTCGTGGGTCGTTATATGGCTGTTGATCTGTACGCTGCGGAGAATTTCGTGGGTCGTTATATTGTTGTTGATCGGGGTATTGTCGTTGATCTGCACGCCGCGGATCGTTGTATTGTTGTCGATCGTGTTGTTGTTTTTCACTTAGTTGTTGAGGTTGTTGTTGATCTGCACGCTGCGGAGAATTTCGTGGGTCGTTATATTGTTGTTGATCGGGGTGCTGTTGTTGATCTGCTCGCCGCGGAGAATGTCGTGGATCGTTGTATTGTTGTTGATCGCTTTGTAGTGGAGGTTGTTGTTGATCGCGCAGTCGTTGAGGTTGTTGTTGCTGATTGTGTACCCATAGAGAACTTGGTTGTCTGAAGTGTAGTGTTTGTAAATAGAGTCGGGGTTCTTTTGAGGTCATCTTATGAGAAAAACCCAACCGTCTAGCTTCAATATCAATGCTGCATGTTAATATAATTAACACGAACGTACAGAAAATTATTAATTTTGGAATACTCATAATGTCATATCTCTATGCGCTTATTCACGAAACCAAATTGACTGAAACCTATATATGAGATAAAGAAAAAAGGACACAAAGTCAATACGATAAATATGTTTTAGAATATTATAGAATGGTTCAGAATATTGAAGAATAAAATCCAATGGTCATTTCGGTTAGGAAGATATTGAAAATGACATTCTATCATATTTAATAATTATGAAAACCTTTGATTCAGAGTCTGTTTCTCAGAGAAATATATGTGAGGAGGAGCATGGAGAAGCAAAAATCCTCCTCATTGACGAGCAAAATATTAAAAGTTGAAAAATTATCGAGCAGTGGTGTTCGTACGAGCAGTAGTGTTCTGTACAAAATTTTATAACGTGTAGGTCATAAATAAATATAGCTCCAGATTTTTTTACCTATCTGAAATTTTTCAAATTTAATTTCAGATTGGAATTGTAATATTTTGTAAATTTTTATACAATACACTTGTTATACTAATACAATATAGTTAAAAAGTTTCACTAGCCAAAAAATGTGGGCATGTGAAATTTGAAAACTCAGTATTTTGTACATTTTAATGACATTAACTTTTTTTCGGTAATTGAACTGTTGGGGTGACCCGACGGAAATTTTTCAGATCTGATGATTTTGGACATTTTAATGAGATTCACTTTGGTGGTGTACGAAAATCGGGTAAACATTTTCCGGGTTTTGATATTTTCATTTTAAAAAAGTCAAATTTTGAGAAAAAAATGTTGTTACATATTCATGATAATTGTTGCACATAATTGTACATAATTTGTACATTTTAGTGATATAAACGATTTTTTGAAATTTGACATCGACCGGGATTTGACTACCCATCCTCGCATTTCTTACTTTATTCGAGTTTATTAAAACTTCAATTGGAATCGTGGGGATTTTTTGAAATTCTTTTTGGATATCGTATTAGTCAAAATAATAATAACGAATCACATTGCACAAAAGTTAGTCTTACTTTAATAAGATTTTTTATTTTTGTAAAAAAACACATAATTGTAATTGTGCACAACGCAGAAAGTTCATATTTATAGACTGAGAAAAATTCTGAGTTTAAAATTTAAATGAACATAATTTGGAGAAAAACAAAAAATGTAATAATCAATGCAAAATAAAAGCAAATTATGAAGAATAACACAATGCCAATCTAACGATTTTCTCCAACTATACCTGTACGGTGTACACTCACGATGCAAATTGAAAAATAATTAAACTGAAACCAAAAAATAAACCGAAAAATAATACGATGCTCCTTGAAATTAAAATTGTAACTAACTGTCGAAAGCTAAAACATCCCGAATATATATATACATATATCGATTATACCAACAATATGTGTGAACACAAATATCCACGAAAAAAAAAAGTGATCATAATAGGTCACGTAGTTTATCAAAATTTGTGACGTACCGTGAGATTACCTAGAAGAAGGAATTCAATTATAAGCAACCAAAAATATGCTAAGCTAATAATGTGTCATAAGAATTACAAAAACTCACTGACAGAATAAGCGTTGTTATTCCATATCTAAAAACTCATTTATCAAGCAACAATATTGAAATGTTGGTAAATATATGCAAGCTCAAAGTTACATTTACTAAACATCTGTTTTCATACCAATCTAATCACCTCAAAGTGAAAAGCATGAAATGTCTCACGGAATTAAAAAAATATTGAACTTTGAAGATTATCTCTTCATACATACGCTGTATGTGTTCTTAAACGTCACTTCCCTATGAGTTTTTAAACGTCCATTTGAAATCAATGTTTTTGTCAGTGATTTTAAATTGAATTCAAAGTCAACTTGATATGATATGCATTGATGATCATAGATAGTATTAATTTTTTGCACACGCGAGACGAAGCAAACAAATTTCTTATCACTGCTAAAGATTTTTCTAGAAAGCGTTTATTGTTGCTATTGCATAGATTCAAACGTTAAGGTCAAAACATTAAATTAGATTAAAAGTATTGAATAACAATATTTTGTAATATTTCATTTCACTATCAATTTTTGGTGAGACGTTTTGCGATTTTTATGTGCTTTTCGAGTGTATGAAAACCATCATCTTCGCTGATACGTAGGCTGCTCCATATATTTCTAGAAAAGCATAAACAACGCAATCGTTTTTTATCAAAAATGGCTTTATTGTTTTTCAAAGTATTCGCCATGATGGTCGATACACTTTTGCATACGCTTGAACCAATCGTCATAGCATTTATGCCATTCCGCGTGAGACACCTTCAAAACGTGGTTTTTGAACGCATCAACTGCTTCTTCTGGTGTTGAAAATCGTTGACCACGTAGTTTATTCTTCACGCTCGGGAGCAAAAAGAAATCGTTGGGTGCCAAATCAGGACTGTATGGCGGATGACCCATTAATTCGATGTTTTGAGTGGTCAAATATTGAGTGGTTTGATGAGATGTGTGAGAGCTCGCATTGTCATGATGAAGAATTATTTTGCGACGACGGTCGTTTTTTCTTATTTCACCAAACACTTCGGGCAAACAAATGGTGGTGTACCAATCAGAATTGACGGTCTTACGATCCTCTAGAGGAACTGTTGCCACATGACTACTTCCACCAAAAAAACAGGCGACCATTTGCTTCGAAGTGCTTCTTGCTCGAACAACTTTCGTTGGATTATCTTCACTTTGGAAGACCCGCATACTGTCGACTGCTGTTTAGTTTCGGGCTCATACGCATATATCCACGATTCGTCGCCTGTGACGATATTATAAATGTTTTTTGATGCATCTCGATTGTATTTGTAGAGCATTTTTTTACACCAATTCACATGAGCCATTTTTTGCTCATCGGTCAATTTATGTGGAATCCAACGAGAGCAAATCTTTTTTACGGCCAAATGTTCATGCAAAATCGTGTGTATGCTTCTCATACTAATGCCCAAGGTTGCCTCAATCTCACGGTATGTGACATGACGATCTTGCTTTATCATGTTTCGGACAGCATCGATAGTTTCTGGAACAACAACCGATTTTGGACGACCTTCACGGAATTCGTCGATGAGCGAATGACGACCACGATTGAATTCAGTAAACCAGTGATATACAGTGGCCTTGCATGGAGCTTCATCGCCAAAGACCAAATGAAGTTGATCAAAACACTGTTGTTGAGATACACCCAATCCAAAGTCGTAGTAAATTATCGCACAAAAATTTTCACGAGTAAAATTCATTTTTTTGTTGAGACGCAATTTAGATGTCACTGTAAACAATACAAATAGCGCGCGTATGACAGAACATTCTGAGGATGTTTAGGCCACAAAATGTCAAACTTAACGAATATGACAATGGTTTGCATCTAGCAACGTCAGTATTGCCAATTCTAGAAATATATGGAGCAGCCCTCGTATAGCTCTTCTTGTTGTGTCATTTCTTCATACGCTGTTTCGCGCGTCATTACATCTAGAATTTCAAGTTCCTTATTTATCAAAGATCAAACATTTTCTGAAATTCCTTTATGCATAAAAAAATACTTTTCCGTTGAATGCAAAAAAACAATCAATACTCGAGTACACAAAAATTATGTTTTCAATCGGCGTAAAATCAAGTATTTCGTTGGCAATTGCTTGCATGACAATTTTCTTTATTGCATCATAAAAATGTATTTTTGTTTTTTACCTGTGTTTTGTTTTGTTGCTTGAAATCACATCAACTTCTATAAAATGCAATAATAACAAACCATTTATTTTAACGATCAAACCGATAACACACTTACCGGCATGATACGTACTCAACGTACGTTGCGGCGGCAGCAATATCAAGTTGTGCCGTATACAAAGGCAAAAGCATAAAAGTTTCATTCATAAAAATGCACACAGTTCTGTTGCTGCCGCTTGCGTTCATTTAATAAAGCTATCCTGAAAAGTACAGAGTACCGAAAATGTACGATTGTAGCTCGTGCTTGTCTTTGCTGCTTTTTCTGTTTTCATCTATCCATCTGCTTCACACTGGATGCGCAACCACAACAACGCTATTTCATCCGCTTAGGAAAAAGCTTGTGCTTGTGTGTTGCAACTACACTGTACGCGCTCACAAATCGTACATTCAGTTTTGTTTCGTAAATAAAATATGTTCGTAGCACGTGGTCGCATCAAGATATATGAGTTCACACACAACACATTAACGAGCCGACAAATACAACGAACAAACGAGATGGATGATGCATGAGCAACGAACGAAATTGAAATGAGTGAATGAGTGTAAGCGAGAGACTGTGATAGCAAAAAAAGCACATAACTCGTATTTTAATGGCCGGTTTGCTCCTCCTTCTGAAATATGGCTGACGCTGTCTCTATCACTCATTTTATTTGCTCTCACAAACACAATACCATATCGCTCAGCACATAAATAAGCTTTTCTAAATTTCAAACTAGTTATTGTTTATATTCAAAGGAACAATTCATTCGTTTTTTGGGTGATTTTATGATTTTATTTGTATTGTTTTTCATTCCATAAATTATGCTCGGTCCAATGTAAATCGGTTTCAGAACCCGAAGAATCGAAAAACCGAAGGTTCAGTAGTTCGATCGACAGATGTCGTTGGATGTAACCAAGTTTTCAGCAGCTTTCATTTATCGATGTTATTCAACTTTTCGTCAGATGGCTGTGCTAAACAATGAAAAGATTTTCATTCAATTTGCGTTGAAGCTCTAACTGAATGTGTTTGAAAGAAATGAAACAGACACAGTTTTTTTATTACTTTTATTTTCTAATTTATTGAATCCATATATTATAATTATAAATTACATTTCATTTAGTTGTTTGCTGCTGCTTTAAGATTCTGTTTTGTTTTTAGTTTAATAATATTGGATCTTATTGACTAAGTTTTTACTCCATTCTTACTTTGTTGCTGCTTTTTTTTACGTATACATTCACGATTCACAAAGAATACTATTCAATATTTATTTGCTTTCAAAACGAAATACCAAAAATAAATTGTAAGTGAAACGTTTTTGGCCAAACAACAATTCTTACAGAAACAAAGACAAATAAAAATGATAAATGTTAAACAAACCAAATCAAAATATACACAAAGTTTTTCTCTCGGATTTTTTTCTTCTTTTTTTTGAATAGAAAAAAATCCGAAAAGAGATAGAGAATCGGTTCGTAAATTGCCTCGACCGATGAATTATGAACTCATACAGTGTGTATGTACACAGTCGAGTTCATGATGCTGGATTTAAAATATAATGAGCATTTTGCTAGGTAAAAAATTCATATAATTCAGTCGCTATATGCAATATAAATCGAGATCAAAATTAAATGTACACAATGAACCAATAGCCAAAAAAAAAATAGTTTGTGCGCTGAGAACAAAGATAAAAACGGAAGATTACAAAGAGAAAAAGAAACAATCAAAGCAACCATGTCCAAATCGATGCACTCTTAAGATCATTGCACACGCACGATTGGCGCTGAATGATGAAAAAAAATCGTGTCAATATATTTTAATCAATACACTTATACTTGTAATACAATTTTATAATTTTTTTTTTTATCTTCATTTTCAGATGTGTGTTGTGTCACTGGTTTCTTTTATGCAGTAGCAATAATCATAATATTTAATTTATCAATAATAATAATAATTTTTGTTTCTTTAAAATGTAATATATTCATATAAACGTCACTAGATTATTACGTATTTCGATTAACTTGTTGCATGTTGGGGGCTCTAGATTTAGTTCCTGATTTCTTTTTTTTTTTTAATATTTTTTATTTGCATGCTGATTTTGCTTGTTTATTATGTTTGAGTTCAGTGCATGAACACAAGGAGGAATTCACTTTATTGGTATTACGTATATTCATTGTGCTTTTCTTTCATTCTTCATAAAAGAAATCGAGTTTCATCATTTTGAGTTGAATTTTTTCTTTCGTCGTCTTTTTTTGAAAAGAGAGTTTTTTTTTTGCAATTCATCACGATATAAAACTGAAATTCATATTCCTTGAGCTCAGACTTTCTTGGCATGTGGATATTGTTTATATCAGTATAATATCGCTTTGTTTTCGGTCATGGATGATAATAATAATGTAGGTAAAATCGGTAGTTCAATTGGTTCAGTGTGTATGTAACTGCTTTTTTTAGTTTACTTTTACGAAACATATACAAATTTCACTTGTTCACTTGTTTGTTTCATATAACATCTAAAAAAAAATTGTCGCGACAAAAATGTGTGTGTAAGTTTAATTAAGTACATTTTCCAATGAAATTGTATGTGTATGTTTGTTTGTTTGTGTGAGAAAGTGTCATTTTGAATCTCTTATGCAGTTTATCATCTAATTTAAATCAAAAAATTTAAAGAGTTTTTTTCAAAATCTGAAATTAATTTCCACTGTGGTTCAAATGGTTATAACTTAAGAACGTGCTTCGATTGTTCGAAACAATGCGTTCGTTAAGCTACCAGTAATGTATACGTTTAATCCTATCAATAATTTATACTTTCACAGTTGTTTTAAAATTTAAATTAGTAAATTTGTTATTTTCTTTTAATTTTTAATCATTACGTATATTCATTTTCGTATATATTTTGTTTCGTTTGTTGCCATTAAGTTAAGCATTCATTTGGTTGGCTGCTTTCTGTTCGGCGTCTCTTCTTTTTTCTTATTGCAAGGGTTTGCACTTATAAGACCAACACGAAAAAAAAAAAATCTCTCTCGTAAAATACTTGTACATTTTTTTTGCAATGAATTTTTTTCTCTATTCGACAAATTCTCATTTGTTCAGCAATTCAATTTTTCTCGATTGCATTTAATTTTACTTTAAAGCTCCTTATCAAATACGTTTTATACTTTAGTGTTGTTGTGTGTGTTCTTGTTTTTAATAATTATTCCTTTTATACCTAATACATACATATTTTGAATTGTTGTTTACGGAATAGCTGTTTTTTTAAACTCTTTTTTTTCTCATTTATCTGTTCAAACGGTATATTTAAACTTAAAACAAAAACGAAACACAAATATTTTATATTTACAAAATGTTGACATAAAAACACATTTTTTTGTTGCTGTTGTCCCGAAAGTAGTTCACAATCATAAGAAAATTAAATGAATGTGGTAAAAGTGATTGATTTTTTTAAAAATTATCAGAACAAATTCGAAATGAAATTAATAATTAAGATTTACAACAACATTTAAAACAATAAAAAAAAATATTTCTTAGCACGTAAATAGAGTGGATGAAACAATCACTGGGGAGGAGGAAAAAACAGAAAAACAAAACGTTTCATTCGAAATAAATTTTGTTTGTGAATTCACAAAAGAAAAACACACACACACACCTGTTTCAATCAAAACAAATTCAGTCAAAGAAGAATAAAAAACAGCAATCATTTGCTGAGAGTCGAAAAAATCGAACGAATTTTCCAACGAGCATTTTGCGAACAATAATTTGCATCCACATAACATTCGCGGACTCAAATTTTGCTTGCACTTGAGATTTTTCTCGTTTTTTTTTCTCTGTTTTCGTTTTGTTTTCTTTTAGTTCTTTGGCACCGTATACTGCAAAATTGCAACGATTTAACGCATAAATTTGAACCAGTGAAATAAAAGCATATGGATGATCTTCGATCGAATTTCGATGATGTTGCTTGTCTGTACTGTTATTCTCCTTTTTCTTCATTCATATTTTTTTTTTTTTAACTTTTATAAATTAAATATTATAGACAAAATTTTTCACAAAACGAAAAATTTCAATTGCACATTAAGAATTCGAAACGACGGGAACGTTTTTATTCTTCTCCGGTTCTCTTTTGTTTAGTTTTTTGTTTCCTATTTCGGCTGTTGATCAAGTTGTTACGAATTGAGCAAGCTTTGATCATTAAATAAATTGAAATGTTCGCGGGTGATTAAAGAAATATACAAAAAACCCATTTGATAACCATAAAAAGATCGCCGAATTCCATAAATTATCCGATTTCTATCGCTGCTGTGTGTGTGTTTTTTGTGTGTGTGTATATGGGAGTTTTGCCAATTTCAGTGTGCGTTGCTTTGATTTAAAATCTATAAATTTGCGATTTGCTTAATCTGTGTCTTGTTTGCATCATTTTCTGTGTGTTATGTCTTAAAAACATTGTCTCTACCTCTATTCTTCACTACATATTTGTATCTACTGATTAGAGAGTATGAAATGGCTGAACAAAATTAATACAAAAAAAAAACAAAATAAATAAAGATATTTGATGTGTTTTTAAATAAAAAAAAACGAGAAAAAGGAGGAGATAAACTATGGTTTTTCTAAAGCAAAATTAGCCTTGAAATAATAATATTTTTCTCTGCAAATCAGAGAGTTGAGTGTAAGAGAGAGCTTAGCTTTTTCTTCTACGGCATTATTACTTTTTTTACACATACTAATCAATCATATATTACTTTGTATTTTGTTTTATATTTAATAGTAGAGTAAGGATTCTTGTATTTCATTGTTTTCTTTTTCATTCTCTTCTCATTAATGTACGTAAATTTAGTGTATTCAATTATTTTCTTTTAGTTTTAACCTTTCAATTTATGATTAATTATTTAAATTGTTTTTTTTTTCTCGTAATTTTATGTTGAGTTTTTGAGTGTATGTGTTTGTGTATTATAAATTTATTGATCGTGTACAGATGCGGCCGCTTTTTGAGCTTGAGCCTGTTTTTCTTGTTCGTTGAGCTCTTTGATTGCTTGAATTTCCTTTTTCAATTTCATGCGACGATTTTGGAACCAAATTTTAATTTGTCGTTCTGTTAGACATAATGCATGCGCCATTTCAATGCGACGTCTTCGGGTCAAATAGTGATTTGTGTGGAATTCTTTTTCCAATTCCAATGTCTGGTACCTCGTATAAGTTTGTCGGCCACGTCGACGTAATCCATTGGCACCTGAAGGAAAGAGAGAGAAAAAAATGCACATTAATAATTTAGTTGAAGTTCAAGAGCTGAAAAAAAATTGTGATAATTTTTGTTAAATTGCCACGTTCGCATAACAGGTATTCGAAACGACCGAAAGTGTGATTTATCGCGAAAATCAATGATATCAACAGAATTGATGGTGCATTTCGTGAAAGTCGCGCGTATATTTTACAAGTATCAATACAATGTTATTGTAATTTTCAAATTAAGTAATCATACGTTTTACTGAAACGCGGCCATCACGAGAAAACGGCGTGTCTTTTCATGACTTTTTTGTTACTTATTCAAATGAAGAGATGCGACTCTTTTTTTATTTACAAAAACCATGCCGATGAAAAAAAAAAATTCTTCGCATGATGGTCTGCGATTAAGTTAGTTTATAACTTATTTGAACATTTCTTCAAACGCAAATTATATGTTTGAAAAGGGCAAGTTCTTTCTTGCAAGTGCATAAGCAAAGAGCGAGTAAAGGAAAAAAAAAGAGAATTGAATGCAATGTCTGTAAACCTTGTATTAAAGTCCAGTGGCATGTTGCATTTCGTGCAAGTGGTTGTTTTCTCAAATTTTTTTTAGCTTCGATAAATGACCATGGTCGATGCTAATTTGCATCTCTATCTCTACCGATTCATAAAAAACCCCGATGTATTTGGAATTTTGATATAGAAAAAATTGTGTTGGTTTCATTTTGGAAACGGTTTCACCGAATGAAAGTGTAGTCATGGCCCTTGGGCCATTTTTCCACAGCAGTTCCTTTGAACATAAAATTATTCCATCGGACGACAATTGCTTTGACGATATTTTATTCATGATGATATTAATTAGGTATCGTGCTCCAAGTGACCAAATACAAAAACGCGTCCCTTTTTCTTTACATATGAGTTTCATCCATATTTATATGTATCGAATCAATAATTCATTCGATTAAAGGCGATTATTTTAGTTTTTGCCAATGTCGGGCGGACACAAATAAATGCCGATAAAATATGAAAATAAATTTCATTCGAAATTGTATCCAAAACTTATTGGCGTTGGAATACAGGAGCTGATCGATAATATTATGTTCAAAGTATGTAGTTTCCGCGAATCGCATGAGAAGATCACAGCCAATTGCTGTTGTTGTTGCGTGTGTACATAATTCAATATGCGAAAACGCTTTGAGAGATGCGGCTTCGACATTTTTCTGCTGAATAATCATTCAAAAGGAACAAAACAGCCGATGAGCCAAACGATTTTCGTCCATAATTTATGATATTTTAGTTCAGGGTATTTCGCTTGATTTTATTTGATTGGATGGTTTTGCTCACACTCTCTTCCAACCAAGCCAATCGCATAAAATCAGTGCGGGCAAGTCTTGAAATCTATTTGTTTTGGAAAATAGAATTTCTTACGCTCTTTAACTGATGTGATTTGTTTGTATTGAGTCGACATTTGGTCCAGTTGTGCATAGAAACATCGGCTCACATATGGGTTTTATCGAATTAAATGAAGGATGAAATTGAAAAAATAAACAAAAAAAAAACGAAAAGAATTTGCTCATTGATGCAGAAACATGAAAGTAACTTCTTCCAATCATCTTTATTTATTCAATTTGCATTGAAACTCTTTCAGTGAAGTAACAAACAAGGGCAATCGAGAGTAAATTCTATGCGAAATTCGAATATTCAAAATGTTCGTTCCATCGATTTTATCAATACAATAATCATTTTAATTGAAGAAGTTCGCACATATAAGTTCATTTAACTGCGTTAATTAATGTGACTTGTATATAAATTGTGTGGCAAATTTGTTGATAGTTTGCCTTTTGTACGATGTGAAGATTTTCTCTTGGCAACTCATCGAAACAAAAGTAACAGAGTTCCTTATTCAGTTCGACCTTTTTGCCAAAACAAACTCTATTCAATTGAACACAAACAAAAATATATTCTGCCAGATAACTTGGTATTATTGTGTTCAAACGCATTTGGTTAGCATTTCTAGTCGCATTTTTGAAACAAACAGAACGATTTGATAACACAAATGCGAAATAAAAATATATCGTCGATGATTTGTTATTCGAACGGAAAGAGAGGAAGAGCGGGTCGGAAGGAACACAGGATATGACACAAACTTCTGCGCCAACACTTTGGCTTCAGAAAATCGTGGCAAAATGCTTTCTTCTTACAACTTGTGCCCAACTATTTGACGATATTGGAATGAAATTTGGTTAACAAAGACGGGCTCAGAACAGTAATATCGAATGAAAAAAAATGCTTACTTCATATGCATAAATTTGGACAAAACAAAGCCTGGGGGGCTTTGTTGAATTGTTGTATATGTGTGTATTTTTTTCTGTTGATCATGCATACTCGCCTCGGCACAAAATGAGGGTTTATATGAAATTGAATTTATATATGACAGTAGCACCATGATGGTCACATATTTGACGTGATTTGAAGCGAACATAAACTTGTTCCTTCCCTCTTAAAGTGTCTTCGATACTAAATTCGCTTTTATTTTGTGCCTATAAAAGTTTCCGGAGCAAATCGAAATGGCCGGCTCACGTTTTGTGAGTGCGTGTGTGCTTTATTTCAACAACAAAAAAAAATCACAAATAATAATTGACAATGATTATCTGAAAATGATGCCATTATATTTACATTGATTGTTTCAATGAAGTAAAATGATGCTAAAATCATGTTCACTGTCATAATAAAAACAAAGTTCTAATGGCGGCAATCGCATTCTCTTATCTTGATTTTAATAATTTTTTTCTCTATCGAATCATTTCATAGCAACTTCGATGTCTAACATATAATAAATGGCCTCGTCTAACGAGTTTTTTTTTCCTTCATCTCATGTGCAAGTAACACGATGTATGCGATAATGGTGCATTGCGAATGAAGTGATTAAAATCACATGAATTACAAAATGACAAGCGTCGGGAATAAAAACAACATCCGACATTAGTTCATCCGACTAGATATTTGAACTGAAAAAAAAAGAGATTGATTCGTTCGTTATTTTAGGTTTTATGAAATCCACTCGAAATTACCAGAGAGATTAACGCATTGAAAAATTTGAATCAGACATTTTCTTAAATGGTGTACATTTTTCGTTGGCGCTAATTTAAACTGAATGTCGACCGAAAGTGCGAGAGAGGCAGAGAGAGATATCCTTGCACATTTGTTTATTACAAATAGAAATATTTTATGGGAATTAATTATTCATAAACATGCTTTATAAAGGTTATAATATTTGTCTCACTAAAGTGCTTGTGTACAATGTGATCGTGAGTGTGTGTGTGTATGTGTGTACGTATATGGAAAATGTGAGATGATATGAGCCTTTTGCTCTAACAATGTGCACAAGCACATACTTATGTGTACTTGGTTTTATTCACACGATTCATGGTATATTAAGTTTATTGTATATTAGGTGTTAAATCAGATAAATTTTTGCATAATACCGCATTATACCTACGAATGCCGAGGCTCAAGTATCAAGTACACCAAAACATATATACACCATGCCGAATACGCATGGAAGAAACATGAGAGCGAGAGCGGGAGAGAGAGATGTGGAGAAAGAGTGAACCATTCGATTTATGCAAAGATTAGCACGCTCTTATAACCGTGAATGCTCGTGTTTCATATTTCCAATGGCAACATCATATACACCGAATGAGAGAGAATCGAGCATCGCCGGAATTGTTTGTTCTATTATTTTGGTTGAATCAAAAATACACACACACACAACCAAATACACTCACCGATATTCATTTGCATGCTTGAGCACTAAATAAACAGAGTACTTCATTTGAAGTCAGAGACCATTAAAACGCATACACAATGTACGCCTTTTCGTAGGTAATGAAGAACCAAAATATGAAATATATCGCGTGTAGCACGAGCTTAAATGCATTTTGTGAGAAGCGATTGCAAAAAACGACCACCACAATAATAGCAGCAACATTGGAACAAACGGGTTCAATTGGCGGGCCATGGCGCGCGAACTCAAGAAATCAGAGAGCGTGAGCGAGAGTAGAAAAAAAAAGAAGAGCAGAAACATAACCGAACACACATTATTTATATATTCATAATCACTGTGATATACATTTTTCATATTTATTAGCCAAATGCCGGTATATTTTTAGCCATATACACGACGATATGCATTTTCGCGAAACCATGTATTCATGTTCTAGCGGATTATATTGATGATACACGTTTTGTATTGTACAAATAAACTCATTTCTTTACATTTCATTACCGGCTATTTTCTTCGTGCATTTTTGAAGAACACTCATGTTAACCGTCATAAATAAAATGCACATTGTAACACCATCAACATATTTTGGCAATTTTGGACATTCAGATGCAACGATGAGCGTCCAATTTTCATAGTAAATGTGCAAAGCATAATGTCACTATAATTTATCGGTTACACTATGGCACCCGAATCGCTTTAATTCGGATTTTCATCAACAAAACTTATAGGTTGCTATTTATAAATGTTTGCAAGATTACGATATTTATCATCAAAATTGCTCTAGATGAAATATTTTTGTGAACACATACAAAAGCCGATATTCGATTATATAACAAACACCAAAAGGTGTTAATCCATTGCCTGGCGTATTTGGTACGGTTGTTTTCCACTAAATAATCTTTATTATGTTACAAATTGCTTCTTCATTTTCTAGGTCTACTTTAGAATTATGGCCGAGATTATATCAAATTTTAATTAAACCATATATATATTTTTGAGGTGCTTGATTGTGAGTGTGTGGCAAATTCGATTTGTGAAAATTCCAGCTAATTTTATGCCATATAAAATTAACCCAAATGCAAAAACGTGTGTGTGTCTAGACGCATGGGTGGAATGCCAATGAATAGAGATTTCATTTGCTTGATCAATTTACAGTGAAAAAAAGAGAAATCTTTTCCTTATTATTATCATCAACGCTGATGCAATTAACTTGTAGCAAAATG